GCGAGCGCCATACAGTTATCGAAGAATTTTTTCGCGCGTCGATATCGTCGCGAGACGCGAATTAATCTCGAGATTTTCGATCGAAAGTAATTTTTCCAATATTTTTCGTCGGTGGAAAATTACATTTCTTCGCTTCGATGTTTTCACGCGACGCGGTCAAACGCACTCAGTCCAGGTTATTCCAAGCTCCACTTTGAGATAAAAGTTGATTCGAGGAAGAGCATCTTGCGAGATTAAGATGAAGGCTGAAATACACACAACGCTCGGCCCGTTTTCAAGATAGATGTGCACGCGCGACGCATTCCCTCGTATATTTCACGATTTAATTCGATTCGAGCACGAGTACACATAATACATTTCGTTTCAAAAAGGATCAATTTCACTACGGGAAACGGTAGCAGACTCGGATCAGCATATTTCTACATCTATTTTTGTTTCACGATATTCCCGAATTTATAGCACAACTCGATTTAATAAACGCGAAATATGAGAAGCGTTTTGTCACGGGAGAGTACGCATCATACGTACTTGCACGATCGTCCATTTTTATACGTGCCAATCTCACGGTAGATCGCGATTCGGTGCGCACCGCAGCGCCACCTAGTCACGTAGGTCGCTCGCGACCATCTCGTCTCATGCTCGCGCCCGCGATTCAGAAACACATCCAGAAATCGACGTCCGTCATACAGGATGGCATACACTGTACATATATAGATTGCGGTTTAAGAGGCTTGACACTTTGGGGACTCGGTGTACCGGAATTTACGGAGTGAATCGCGCGGCCGACGCGTTACCGACAGATGGTAAGATATCGTGACTGGAAATCGATATCCGCGTATCGGTGAAAATGTCAAACGGCGTAACGTTAAACGTCGATAGGTTATCTCTTCGTTTTTTTTTATTTTTCCCTCTCCTCTTCGGAAGAGAAAAATTGCGAATTCGACGAAGGAGCGCGTTCTGGTTTCCACTCACTGGATTACGGCCATCCTCCTCCTCGATCATCGTTTTACACGAATTCGACACGAAACTTTCGTCTATTCGTGCAACGAACGGATCGAGGGAGAAACGAGGGAGGAAATTGAATAACGCCGGAAGGAGATGCGCCTTCCTTCTCTATTGGGTATCTTATCGTATAAGTAGTACGTTCGAATGGGTGAAGGATTCTCTGTGGAAGAGGTATAAAGGTAAAGGAAAAATTCTTTCCCTTTTTGCGTTTGTTTGCGTTTGTTACGGTTTGATTGAAATATTCGGAGAAAATGTCGAAAGATTTTTTTTTCAAAATTTTAACATTGTTGGAAAAATTATAAGTTGATCGGAATGAAAAGCGTCTCAAGTATTTTTTTTTTTATATATTTTCTATATTTTCTATATTATTGAAAAACAATATTGATCTCACTAATTCACATCGCATTTTAAGATAATTTTAAAAATTTTTCGATAAAAAAATATTTACTCAACACGTGCTACACAACTTTTGTCCAATTCCAATTGTATATATTTCGCACATTTCACGATTTAAAAGAGCGATTCGATAAAAAAAATGGAATCATTTTGTACGAAATAAAAAGAAAAAAGAATAATATTTACATTCATTCATGTAATTCCATTTTAAACGTGTTTCCAGACATCGCACCGAATTATAAAATTTCAGGTTTGAAATTAAATTAAATCGGGCGAAAGTTGGAGGGAAAATTAAAATAAACGGTTTCACGTAGGATCATTCGCAAGAAAACTTTCAAGCTTTCTTATCCCTCGATGAACGAACATTATTCGATAGAATGACCTTGTGCTCCTCGTAATTTCCCGGTTCATCGGGCAACCGTCGAATTTATTCTCGAACATGATAAATGGAAGAGCTGTCAAACTTTTCGCTCCATCTTGACGTCCTTCTCCCCCCCCCCCTCCCCCTCCTCATTTCGACGAAATGAACCGTAGAAAAAGAAGAAGGGAGGAGAAGAAAGAATTCAGTTCCACGACGAGAAGAGAAGAGAAACGCGAGAGCATTCGTTCGTTGTATCGTAAGATCGGTGATTAAAGATTCGCCGAGAACGAAGGCTTTATTATTATTATCGGTTCATGGAACGAAACGAAACGAAACGAAACGAAACGAAACGGAACGAAACGGTTGAAATAAAAATACCGAGGTATAAATCTGACCTGCTCGTAACTCACTCTTAATTCCACGATTTATTACGCGGAACGTTGTTTACAAAAGATTCGAGAAGAGAAGGTCGGGAGAGTGAAGGAGCTTTACAGGTTGTAAAGTTTACGTGTATCTGGCGTTGTGAGGCCAAAACTAAATGAAACTTCTCCTAACTAATCCTTAATTACAGGCATTCGTTGTACCGCGAATATAATAACGCTCGTAAAAAAAAAAAGAAAAAAAAGAAAAGGATCGAAATAAAACGAACGAAGACAAGCGATATTATACAGTTCGAAAGGAAAGATTTGAAAGATCGAATTAAAATGTTGTTGTCTCGGTTAAACTCTTTGCAACTTGGTTACGAGATTTTCAAATTTTCTTTTTCCCCGATGAAGTTCGAACCCGTGTAATCTAAACTTTGAAAGATGGAAAGAAACGTTTTATTAGCTTCGAAGATAAAGTAGAGTCGCTAGAAAAAACGCATTGAACGTGAAAAAGATACAACGTGTACTATTACAATATTTTTACATTTTACATATCGTATAATAAATATAAAAATTCCTCATCTCCAATTCCATTTTGAATATTAATTCAAAATATATATATATATATATATATATATATATAATTTAAAAATTTTTCGATTCGATTTAATCGACTATTCGTGAAACTAATTGTGAAACTTGTATAAACTGCGAGCACTGTTTCCTTTCTTCGTATTGTATTTTTCACAAGAGAGAGAGAAAAAAAATAAATAAATAAAAAATAAAAATACGGACGATACATTTCCATCGATAAAAATTTCTCGCTAAAAGTGGAATCCCCGTTCCTTTTATGGGAATAGGAAATTCGACGGCGAGATATAGTGGCGGGCGACGTGTGTCGTTTGAAGTCGATATACACGACGCGTGTGCATCGATTGACACACGCTGGCAAACACGGATGCGAGGAGTGGGGGAAGGTCTCTCTCTCTCCGCGTCACTCGGGGACGCTCGTCATGAAATATTCAAGATACAAATGGCAACTCGAATCCGATCACGAGCACTTCGGTTAATAAGAAACTTTCTAAACTCTAATGCATTTAAATTGGCCCCGCCCCTTTCCCCCTCCTCCTCTTCCTCCTCCTCTCCTTCCAACATTCAATTACGTGTATTTTCTTCCTCGTGAGGATCACTCGTCCCTCTCCTCCTGCTCCTGTTTTTTTTCTTTTTTATCGATCGATGGTAAGTCCAATTTTACGAACGGTAAATTAATAATTCTTTTTTCGATCGAGAGCGATTGAATCTCCAACTTTCTAACTTTGCGAACGAGGATCGTGCAACGAATGGACGAAGCTTCCTTTTTTCGGATTTTTCTATGATATTCGCGTCTGCAACACGTGACAACGGAAAGAGCATAGGATTTTCTTTGAAAATTTTCACGAGAATAGAAAGATCATTTAAAATTAAATTTCGCTGTACGATTTTTTCAAAAACCATGGTAGATATTTGAAAAATTAAATTACAATATGTGTATTATTTTTGCAAAGATGTGAAACCTCTTTAAACGATTAACCAAACGAAGATTTCTATCTGTAGATAAAACAATCTCTATCTTCTATTTGAAAAAATTTATCGATAATTGATGAACGATTGAAAATTGAGGTACATTTTTTTTCTTTCTCTTTCTTCTATATATTTTCCTTCAGCAACCGTTCAACGAAGATACACAGAACAAGAAAGAAACAGCAGTAATCCATAAATGATTGCCTGCTCGATACAGGCGGTCAAAAGTTAGGTTATAATCTCGAGGTTCCATTTTCGTTTTAACGTTCATCATTCGGGATATCCATCCCGCTCCTTTTCAACGAGCCTTTTGCATTTCGACGAATCTTACTTTATCCCATGCGATATAACGAGCAGGATTTCCCCCGAAACGATTAAAAAAAAATAGAAAAGGAGAGAGGAAAGGAAACGGGATACCCAAGTTATTGCATTCCATTATATGCATATATGTTGTACATGATCTTTCATCTCCTCGAATCCTCAGCCAACACTGTTGACAGTTTTATCAAAGCGATCTCCTCCACTCTTTTCGAAATGATTTCGAGACGATAAGATAATACTGCGACTATGTTCGTTTCTCGAAAACGTAAATATCGGAAGGAATGGAATTTTCTCGAGGAAAGAGAGAGAAAGAAAGAGGGAGAGCCAAAAGGGGTTGGTATAAAGCCGTGCCACAATTATGTTCCATCAACGTCATAGCTGATAGGGTTTCAGGCAAGTCGGCGTAAAATTGAAATAGGGGTTGCTAACGTTTGGGCCGGGGCTAGACGTGTGCTCGCGCGCGTACGTAATGGGTTTAGAGACGGAGAGACCCTTATCTACCGAGCATACACACAGCAAAGATAACGAACTGGATATGCACTCGTGCTAAAGTAGGAGTCGCACGACCAAGCGTGCGCCCTGATTCGAGAGACGAAGGGGCAAGAATGGAATCGTGCTTTCTTTTTCTTTTTTTAATTATAATTAGTGATAACTCGAGGCTTGTTTTTCTTCTATATAATCGCACAAGTATAATATTTTATTCATATAATTTAGTATTAAAATATTATACTATGTAGATAATAATTCAATTTTTAATATTGTTTATAAAATTTTGTTTAAATAATTTATAGAATATCTTTTTTATAAAAAGAAATATTTTCTGCATAAATAATAGTGAATAAAATAATTATGTAAAGGATAAGAAAAGAGTTCTGTGTTTTTCTTTGTAATAATAATTAAATAACTTTTCTTTTCCTTTTCATAATTACACAAACAAAACTTTGTTATAATTTAATAAAATATTAAAATATTATACCACATAATTTATTTGCACGAGTATACGTGTAAAAGAAACATTTTCCACACAAATAACATGAAATAGAATAATCGTAGACACGTATTTTCCTTAACAAAATAATAAATAATTTCTCAGATTTAAAAGACACGCGATTTAATCAAGCAATAATCAACAACTAACGAACTACCATTGTCACGTTCGATGGAAATTAAAAATCAAACCTGCACCCGTGAAAAAACTTCCACTTTCCACGCTACTACTTTCACCACCTCACGCGCGCAAAATCGCCTTTAACGTTTCACAAACGTCCGCTCTGCGTCTTCGAAACGAACAAATGTAATCTCGGTATCCGTGTTATACACGGTGGAACAAGGTATACACGGGGTAATCTACTGATGTAGATGGATCGTTTTCGATTATTCCACGCGATGTATCCTGGCGGTCGTCTTTCGGACAAGGCTGCGTTGGAATTTCTAGATAGCGCTTCTCGACTCTACGTAAACCGATTCCGACACTTAAGCAATTAACTCGGGGCGTAGCCTCGTTTAACGAATACCGTTTATCGCGACCTGCACCTGTTCTCTCTCTTTCTTCTTCTTTGATCAACCGTTCGATCAGTTTTCACGAATCTTTCCTTAGTTAGTAATGGTTCCTTCTTTTCCATTTTTATTTCCTCTGCCTCGAGTTGGATACGTAATTTTTTCACTCTGTAACCGTGGCGTGTATACACGCTTTCTCGAGCAAACAGACTGACCCCTTTATTTTCCGCGAGATAAGGAATGAAAGGCAAGGATGAATTCCCCCCCCCCTCGATTTTTCGCTTCCTATCTGCTTTACTCATTTTTTCTTATCTCTCTGTTATCCTAGTTTTTATCTCTCGCCTTCCATCATCTTCTCTTTAATTAATTCTCGCTTATTTTCTCGTTATTCGTTATGTGCTTTCTCAACAGCGGATGGAAATGTTTTTTCCCTCTCGTTCGAGAAAAGGCTTTCGAAAGGCTCGTGTTTATCACGCAACATTCTGATCCACTTTCTTTCTCTTCTACCACCAGTTCGATTAATCTTCGATTGTCACCGCGCTCTTGGATAGAAGAAAAGGAAGACTGATTAACTTTTTCTCCCTCGTCGAGATCCTCCATGTTTCTTCCCCTTGCGATTTATACAGAAATGTTTAACTGGTTTTCCAGGAACAAAAATTTAAAAATTAATCCTTCAACTTACTCTTTTGGCACAGCCGATCGTTCTAAACATAAAAAAAATATTTTTAATAAAATCAAATTATAATACTGGACAATATATTCTAATTATTTTATAAATTATAAAAAGTAAACGTACAAGTTGTTATAACAGAAATCCAAAATTTATACTGAAACTTCGTCGCTATATTCGTCAACATTTCGTTGAATGCGCCTTTTTCTCGAGAAGCTGGAAAAAATAGAAAGCATATTAGAGAAAGTTGACGAAAATATACTTTGGAAAGAGGATCAAAATGAGATTTTAAACTTTTATCTTGTACCAGGACAAAACAGGATGCATTTTATAATCAGTGATAAGAAAAATATACGTTCTAATTTTAAATTATATTACCGAAGCGATATTTTAAAACATTTCTTTTTTTCATGTTTTATTTTTTATTTTAGTGATATATAAGCGATATATAATTATTTGATATTAACAAAAATATCACAGTTAAACATTGCTCGCCGAAGTATCGATCGTCTTTCAATATTTCGATTCGATGAGATCGACGAACATCTAACACGAGTATACGATATAACATATTTATACATATATCAACTTGAAACGTGAAAACGCGTGAGCCAGGAACGATTGAAAGAAGAGGGACAAAAGGCTGTGCGAATGAAATTACAGAAATATCGGCAATCGAAGACGTGACGTATTCTGAATATCGAATTTTCGAAAGACTGGGAAGAGATTATTCGTCGTGGAAAAGAAATTCGAAAAGAAACTCCAGATCCACTATCATTCACGTAGAATTTTCTAAAGAATAAATCCCCCTCTCTAATTCAAAATACCAAGCTTTCCATCACGCGCCATATTTCCCCAGACGATTCTCGCTCTATTTAAACGCACTGTTGTCCTCCAACCGTCCAACTTTCGATCTCTCCTCACCTCCCCTCCATCATCGAGCTCTCTTTTTCTTATTTCTTTTAGAAAGGATACGTTATTTTAGGCGCGAACATTCGACCTTCCATACTTCCAATCGGTAATGGCGGCGCCCATTTCAATCCCAAGATGGTTCCCCTCGATCTCGAATTTTTCATCCCGCGAGGTGGCGTTGAAAAAAATGAAAGGCGACGGAGCAAAAACGGATTCGTTTGGGATGGAATAAGAATTGCACGAAAAAACGAGTCACTGGTGGAGCAAACTGCCCGTTTTCCTGTTTAATCTCTCTTCCTCTTTCTCTCTCTCTCTCTCTGTTGTGTCTCGTACACATATGACGTTTTTCAATATTTTTCGAAACTATGCCTGTGGAAAGCAGATATTAACAGATATTAAGTGTGTGGAATCGAGGCAAATCGAAGTAAGAAGAAGAATTATGGATGATGAAATTTGAAAGCTTCCGTTTTTTGGGAGGGGGAGATGGATGATCGAAAAGTGTGCGAAATACGCGTGGCTATCTGTGGATAGATTTTCATGGATTTGCGGAAAGTAAGAATAGAGAAAAGATAAAATTAGAATTGGAGGTTTTTTAATTGGAAAAAAAAATTCGTTTAATTCGAATTAAGATTGTGTGGCTCAAAATAAAAAGAGAGAATTAAATTTTCCGAAGATCAAATTTAATAAAAGTGCATGAAATACATGTAGATATAATTGATTCTTAATTGTATAATCGACTTGTGAAATTGAAACATATATAAAACATACCGTGATCAACGATTAATCGGACATACGAGTGGAACGAGCCAACGATCGGTCGGACACCGGCTCGCTTTTCAATTCAATTCTCTCGGAAACGAAGTGTCAACGGAAAAAAACTTTATTCTTCTTCTTCTTCTTCTTCTTCTTCACATTTTCAATTGACCATTCTTCCCCTCACACCACACCACTCCCTTCTTGCCGACAATAATGTCACTGTTTTTGAAATGCGTTGCAAGTCGGCCATTCTCGGGAAACGAATCGACGACAATATCTCTCTCACGATACTAAGAAAAATCGCCTTTCGTGTTATACCAAATACATACATATATGCATTAATTTCACGATTTGCAAGTTGAGAACCGTTGCATGCAATTTAAATCGGACGTATCCGGCGTGATTAGTTTCAGTAGCAGAAAGTACACGGCCACGCATTAACGCGTTCAACAATCCGCTCGATTAATTGGAGAGATCGAGGAAGCAAGGGCGTTTATATTTAAACGCTTGAGCGATAAGACGTTTGTCGTTTCACCGCGCTATTATTATTCGAGCGTGAGCCGGTTGCTCGGAATAACGAGCGTGCCTATATAATCGTTCTTATCTGCGCGCACGCGTGCCACGCGAGGACGACTCGACAAGAGAAATCGCCGTGGGAGGCAAATTATATATGTATGTATGCGAATAAATTCTTCCTTTTTTTTTCCAAATTCAAGATTTTAATATACAAATCAAGTACAAGATTACCCAATTGTTTCAGTCTGATCACTTCTACCGATTCTTCTCGCGTCTGGATTGGATTTTCGTCGAGCGATTCCTCTGATTCACCGTCGTCGAACTTTCTCGATGCGCCTGAACCTGATTATCGTCTTCCAAATTAAAATTTCCGGCTTTAAATCTTTGGTACCACTTTTCATACGTTCCCTAAGATACGTTCTCTCCCAATGGAACGTAAACCGTTTCAATAGCTTTAACAACCGATTTTCTATGATGGAACGTGAAAAGTAAGCGGTGACGCAAACGACGCTTCTCGCGCGCCATATTGTTGCATAGCACTGGAAACTCTTAGAGCGCTCCTCGCGACTCTTTTTGAAAACAAAAGAACGCTCTTTCAGATGACGCCACGAACGGTAGTAAAATAATTCGAATTCGGTCAGAAGTTACGATCGTAGAAAAAAAGAGAAACTTATTTGCATACCTAATATGTATATATATATATATATATTCTCCTTCCTCCAAATCTTCAAAATCCACGAAATCTTAATTCTTAATTCTTTAACCGCAATTCTTTTGCATTCAAAAACGTACCATATTTTTTCACGTTTTTTTCTCTTCTTTGAACACGTGTTCTATGAAAAAGTGTTTCTAGTGGATTGTTAATGGGTTAATCGAAACTCCTCGAGAGGGAATCCTCTCTCATAGAAAAAAAGGATCAATCAGAAGGATGGATATTGGATGTTACACGTGATATTAGGAGAAATAAGCTTAATGTACGTTATAATAATATGGGATTATTTATCTAAATGGAATATTCGAAAATGGATGGACGGATCCGGGGATGGATTCGAGTAAAAGTTAATGCAAATTATACGAACACCCGCCGCGGTCTTTGAGCACGGTCGAGGAGGATCAAAGGCACGTCCGCCTTTTCAGCAAAGTGAAATATCTGCGAGGCATACGAAATATATGTATTTCTTCTGCAAGGCATCCTTTCTTTCTCTCACTTTTTTTTCCTTTTTTTTCTTTTTCCCCTTTTTTTTTTTTTTTGGTTAACACGATCAAAAGCGAGCATAGGATACACGAAAATGTTCGAATAATTAATCTCTTTACTTTTTTTTTTTTGTAAAGAGAAATATAAAACGAGAGTAAAATCTCGAATTTATAATTATGATATATTTATAATTACAATGACGGCGTTATATAATTTTAGCTTAGTAATTTCACTTGACATCTTTCGGCAACGTTACGCGTTGCTGTTTTTGATAAAAAAAAAAAAAAATAGCGTGCAACAGCGTACACAATTTGAAAATCGAAAGGCCAGCCTGCTCGACTAAAAGTAGTTTCGTGTTACTTGCAACGCGTCATCCTACCGAATTTATTATATTTGAAAGATACTAATATTGTTCTCTGACGAATGAAAATATTTTTGTAATCAAAAATTTTCAACGTCGGTTCGTGATTTCCGAGTTAAATTTTGCTTCGCCATGAAATTTTTTAGCTTGACTTAAATCTAACAAATTATTTCGAAAATTTAAACCCCTTCTATCGCAACACATACATATATTTTATTTATCTCAAAGAAAAAAAAAAAGAATAAACTTCTACGTATTTCAAAATTTTCTTCCTTTCTTCTGAAGTGATAGAAATTTCAAGCCCGAGCCGTGACTTTTCGAAGAAAAAGAATTCGAGAATATCTATCTTTTCGTCGAATTTTATCTTTTTTACCGACCGAACAGAATTTTCGAATCGCTGAGAAAAAGAAAAAAGAGAGAAGGAAAAAAAGAAAGCGGTAAAAATGAAATTGCGAAAGAGGTGCAAAACCGAGTAGCCGGGTGGGCTATATCCCCTATAATCCGCGATTAATTAAGAAGGAGGAGGGAGGGAGGTGTAAAAAATGGGGGGAGGGGAGGGCAGGGTACAAGTGTGCGGTAGTAATGCGGGAAAGTGCATTAGGTCGACAGTTTTCTGTACGGTTTTAATAGAGTGAGCTAATTAGAAACCGGATTGCATTACTTTAAATTACAGCGAAACGCGTTGAGAATGGGACGAGTGCGGCGGTCAAGCCAATTAACCCGAGCCTCTCGATAATTACGAGCCACCGACCGGCCAGTCGCTTCATTTAAGCCGGCCGCGCGGTCAATCATCGGTCTCCGGCTTCCAGGAATTCAACGACTTTTCTAATTACGCGTATATATTCCCCCTACGTGTCCCGTAATTTCGAAAATTGCACGGCCCGCTTCTGGAAACTCGTGGCCAATCTGTAACTTTCCAAAGAAATCGGCCGACGATCTGTTATTAAGCGTTTGTTTGCAAATGAGGAGAAGATATAATATTTAAAATTCATTGGATTTGGAATTATTCAGGAATCATAGAACTTCTCTTTAGTTAGAAATCTGATATTTTTTGAATTTGACGAATTTCTTTTTTATTTGCTTTAGTATTTGTAATTCTATTTTTTATAAGGAAAAATAATAAGAGAATTTACTTAGATTACTTAGATTTGATTCTAGGATTTGTGGCGATCTGATATTCTGTGTCAGTGGAGCCCTCTATTTATCCACGCTCATCTCCAATAATTTGGTATTCTGATTTAATATGAATCGTAATATACACCCAAATGCTTGTATCCAATTCTATTTCCGAGTTGTGAGAACAAAGAAACAAGGGAATTGATTTTAGAACATTTGGCAATCTGATATTCTATGCTCAGTGACGTTCTCTACTTACTTTATGAATCTGTTTTAATAATTTGATAATTCTAATTCTAAATTAATAAATATCATAAATATTTACAAATGCTTTCTATGTATAAAAAGATAAGAAAATTCTGTGTTCACGTCAGTGGCGCCCTCTATTTATCCACGCTTAGCTTCAATACGTGCAGAAATATTTTCTGTATGCATCCAATTCTATTTCTGAATTGTAAATAAACATTTACAAAAAATAAAAATAAAAAAATTTATTTAGATACCAGAATCTCTGATATTCCATGCTTATATTCGATATTCCGATTTACTATGAATCAAAAATCCTCGCAAACCATCTTTTCCACGCATCTAATGCCATTTCTTAACTTATTTTAACCTAATAAAGCAAATCAATTCGAGAAATTGCTATCGATGTTATCACTTACGAATAAATATTAATCGGTAACTCAATAGAATCTTCGTCCCTCCGATATAATATTAAGAGGCATTCCAGCGTCCAAGTACGTAGGCAAATTCAAACGTCGAACGTGGCGAGAATATTTGCACGTCTCCCGTTTCGAAACACTTCCGTATAATTGCACCGCGCACGATCGACGCGTGAAACGTGAAAATACGTTAAAAAGAGGCTACTCCGCAAGAGTTCTTCTTCCCCCTCTCTCGTTCATTTTAACGCGAGTCGAGCAACGTGAAACTTTAAAGAGGAGACAAGCATTCAAACGAATGTATAGTTTCTTCTTTAGCTTTGTCGCTGATTCGTGTGAATGTAAATGTAATACTTTCGATAATAATATCAAGTACATACAAAACGCTTTTTGTTTATCAAAACTTTGAAGAGAATCAGTTTTTTATCCTCCATAATTAAAATTGTATCGAATTTACGATAATATATCAAATTTGTTGTATTTATTAGTTCGAACGATAACGAAGATTGGGTTGAATTGAAATCTATTTGACGCGGGTTTCTTTATCAGCGTCAGTGCACAATGTGTTTGAAAATATTTCGCAAAATAATCTGCAAAATATCGCGTTCGATACACAAAGCTACACATGACCGTACGTTATTACGCGAAGATACAAATGTTTTCAAACTTTTTCCCTGTATTTTTATCCATCGATGCATAATTTCACGCGCTTCGAACAATTTTTTCTCTCTTCCTCCTCTTCCAACCCAATCGTTTAACATTCGTCACGCTTTTGACGGAAAATAATGATTAATGCCCGAGTAAAATTTTACACGTTCTTTATATAGCAGCACGGTTGATTAATTAATTTACAGAATAATGAATAATGGCAATGATAAAACAGAATATCGACGAGACGCGATAACACACTATGATATATGGAAATATCCACGTATATCTCTGAAGATAGCTCGTTTATTTGCAAAAGTTCTTTGCCCCTGCAATATTTGTCGCGAAATAACCAATTCGTACTCGAAACTCCGAACCTACGATTCGATATAGTTTCGACCTCCTCCTCCACGGTGTTTCCCAACCTCTCAGAATTCCAGCCAGTATTCGGTTTCGAAATGCTATGCGAAAGTTGCGTAAATTGCACGATTCGAAATATCTGCGACGTGCTTTCCAAAATTATCGAGAATATACATATATATATATATATATATATATATATAATAAGTAAGTAT